CCTTTCTAGGTGACCTCGCCATCTTAGTCTCTGTGCCTTTATGACTCCTATTATGTTAGGTTGATTATATAATTTCTTTAATTCATCATTTGATCTTCTTATCCATAAACCGTCCCTTATTATTCCTCCATATATCTTCCTCAAGATTTTCCTTTCCAATATCTCCAGTAGATTTTGTTCATTTTTTGTCATTGTCCACGTCTCACTGCAGTATGTTGCTATTGGTTGTATAGTTGTTTTGTATAACTGTATTTTTGCCTTTCTTGATAAAAACTTGCTTTTTCAACATTCCACTAAGAGCATGTACACTTCTATTGGCTGCCATTATTCTAGCTTGTATTTCTTCTTTAATGTTAGGTTTACGTGATATTATTGTACCTAGGTATGTAAATCTTTCCACTATTTCGAATTCGTGTGATAATCTTTCTTCTACTTCTACTTTAAACTTTTGTCCATCCTAAACTGATCATCTGTCCACTGCATACATTTTGTTTTAGTTTCATTTATGTAAAGTCCCATTTTCTTTGCTGCTTTTACTATTCTCTGTACTATCTCCTGTAGCTCTTTTTTTCCTCTTGCCAGCAACACTATATCATCCGCAAATGCCAAAACTTGGTGTCTTTTATGATATAGGAGTCCTTCTCTATTAATTCTCGCTTCTCGCATTATTTTTTCTAGGCATAAATTGAAGAGTAATGATGACAAAGGATCGCCCTGCCTTAATCCTTCTTTTACTATAAATTTGTCCGATGCATGATTGTTAACTTTGACTCTGTTTTCTGTATTCTCTAAAGTAAGATGTATCATGTTACGCAACTTTCTGCTAACTCCCAGTTCCTCAAGGGTCTCTTTTAATTCCTTCCTTTTTATTCTGTCGTATGCTTGCTGGAAGTCGATGAATAGCGCTATCGTTGGTAAGTTGTGTTCATAGCTTTCTGCTTGTAACTCTCTTATTATGAATACTTGGTCCGTTGTGCTTCTCCCTCGTCTAAATCCACACTGGTATTCGCCTATTATATTTTCAGCTTCTTTTTCCAGCTTATCTTTTATCGATTTTGATAGGATTTTATATATGGTATTTAGTAACGCTACTCCTCTGTAATTACTGCATTCTGTTTTGTCTCCTTTTTTGTGTAATGGACAAATAATGGCTTCCTTCCAATCTTCTGGTATTCGTTCTTTTATCCATATCTCTTTTATGATCTTGCATATCCAATTATTTAGCAGTTTTCCACCATATTTCATCATCTCTGCTGTTATGTTATCACTTCCAGGGGATTTGTTGTTTTTCAGATTTTTTATGATTTCCTCGATTTGTTTTTTGCTGGGTGAATTATCTTCTATGTCGTCTATGTGTTCAATTCTTGCTTCTGCTTGCATATATTCTCTTTGGTTTGACTTATTATTGCCATTTAGTAATTCATCAAAATACTCTTTCCATCTTTCGACTATTTCTGCTTCCCCGCTTATATTATTTCCTGCTTTGTTTTTAACGAATATGGGTTTTTGTTGGAAACCTTTTTTTTTCATTTCTAGCACCTTGATACAGGTTTTTTATTTTTTTATTTCTGTAATTCTCTTCTATTTCTTTTAGCTTAGTTTCTATGTGTTTTCTCTTCTTTTCTCTCAGCACCCTCTTTACTTTTTGTCTTTGCTCCCTATATTTATTCTTTGTCTCTATTGTTTCTTTCGTGATCATTTCCATCCTTAATGATTTTCTTAGTTCTATTTCTTTTTGGCACTCTATGTCGAACCAGTCTTTCATCTTTTTATTCTCTTGTTTATCACATTCTTTTGCTGCTTTGTTCATTATTTGCTTTATGTTTTCCCATTTGTTCTCAGTTTGCTCTTCTATTTGTATCTTTTTTAGTTCTCTTTCCATTGTTTCCTCGTATATTTCTTGCTCTTTTTTTGTTGCTAATCGAATTGGGTTATGTATACATTTCTTTTTATTTATTTTGTTTTTGTTTTCTGGTATCAGTTGCTTAATTTTGATACCCACCATGTAGTGATCTGAGTCAGCGTCTGGTCCTCTGTATGTTCTTATCTTCTTTATACATTGCTGTTCCTCTTTTTCGATGAGCACGTGGTCTATTTGGTTTTTAGTCTTTCTATCTGGCGATATCCATGTTTCCTTGTGTATTTCTTTTCTTTCGAAATATGTGCTCATTATGATCATATTTTTTTCTCTTGCGAAATCTATCAGGAATTGTCCGTTCTCATTAGTTTCATTGTGTTTACTATATTTTCCTATTGTCGGTCTAAATACTTCTTCCTTCCCTATTTTGGCATTTGCATCGCCTAGAATAATTTTCATATCATATCTGGGTATATTTTCGATTGTTCTGTTTAATTCATTGTAGAAACATTCTTTAACGTCATTATCTTTTTCTTCTGAAGGTGCGTGAATATTTATAAGGGTGATTTTTTGGTATTTTCCCTTGAACCTGATACTACATATGCGGTCTGATACTGGTTTAAACTCTACTATTGCTTCTTTTAGCTCTTTTCTTATCATAAAACCTGTGCCTAATGTTCGATTCTTTCCACCGCTGTTGAAAAACATTGTATCCTCTATTTCAAATATATCATTTCCCAGCTGTTTCGTCTCCTGTAAAGCTACTATGTCAAAATGGAACTTTTCGATTTCTCTCGCTAAATGTTTAAGTTTGCCTTCTCCATATGTGCCTCTTACATTCCATGTTCCTAAAAGTAGGTGCTCTTTTCGCAATGTTTTCTTGTGCTTTGGTTCAGTTTTCATTTCTGTACTCTTTTTTTCTTTTTTTGTATTTTCCTTAACCTTGTTCTGTGCTTGTTTCGTCAACGTTATTCCAGTAGTACATTTAGTTGCTAGTTTTTTGATGTTTTTTTACACATTGCGCCTTCTTTGTCATTCCACCTCCATTCGCTGTTATTCACCCATATTTTTTTTACTCCAATTTTTACTTCATTTCCTTTATTTCTTTCTTCTTGAGCAATGTTTCTAATTGTTTTCTGTATTTCTCGTTCTTTTATGGTTGCATCTTCGTTGATATATATTTTGTACTCTTTAAATTCTTTTAACTTATGCTTTTTTTCCATTATTTTTCTTTTTTCTTCTTGGTTTTCTAATTCAATTAGGCATGTTTTTTCGCCTAACTTGTGAGCATTCCTTATTTTAACCTCTACCCCTATATGTTGTTTGATGAAATTATTGATTGTTCCTTTTAACTCTGCTTGCTCATGTGTCTATCCTTAGACCGTTCATAACTATGTTATTTATTCGTCGGTGTTTTTCCATAACTTCCATGTTTTTTGTTATTTCTCTGAGTTCCTCCTTGATCTCTATATTTTCTTGTTTTAGTTCCAAATTTTCTTTTCTCAGCTCTCTGTTTTCCATTATGAGCTTTTCTATCGTTTCCTTGCATTCTTTTTGATTTCTTTTTATTTCCTTAATATCATCGGTAAGGTGGCTCATCATTATTAGTAATTGATCAATTTTTGTTGCCTCATTTTTTTTCTCTGGAGTTTTTGTTGGCGTTCTCGAGAACTTCTTGCTCTTTCTGAAAATGTTATCTTCTTCCTCGCTGTCTTTATATCTGTCCTTCCTTTTTGCCCCTCCTTCTGAAAGTGTATCATCACTGTCTAAATTTTTTATATATTTTTCCATTTTCCGGCGCCAAACACTGTCTTCCACCTCAACAGTTCAGAGAAGACAGCGTTTACCGTATTTATTTTATGTTTATTAACCGTTATTATTTTTCTGTGTCTACCCCGAAAGTCTACTCACAACGGCAACGTCGCAATTTCAAAGGTCAGAGTTTCGTTTCTATGCCTTGATGTTAATTAGGCTTATCAATTACAGCAATCTTACTTTTTATAGGGCCTTGGTGTTTTCGGATGTTATTTCACCGATTTTAAAGTTTTTTCTTAGCACTCTCCTTCACTTAATGTCTTATATTATTCACTGAATGTCTTATATTTGATTTGTATGAAATTATATAAAGGCCGTTATGGCTCTGCGAGTAGAAAAAGCCACTCTGAAAAAGTAGTTTTAGAACAAATGTGAGATAAACTTTATGTTAGGCATTTCTTTTTATAGATTATTTTTATGAAAGGGTTCATTTAGCAAAAACACTTTTACAAAACAATACCTTCTGCACAAAAACTTCAATTTATAAGAAAAAAGGTAACCCTAAAAAAGTTTAAGAAGCTGAACTAGCACAAGGACAGACAGTAGGACAATACAAAGATGGCATTTTAGTAAGAAAGTGGAGAGAAAAGAGAAGTTATGTACATATCCACGGAATTTAAAAATGGTCTTATCGAAACTGAAAACAAAAGAAACCAAATAAAAATAAAACTCCTACCTCCTAAAGGTACACACAAGCTGCTGCTACCTGGTATACGGATGGCTCAAAAACATCGGAGGGTGTGGGAGCCAGCGTAGTACAGACAAATCAAGGGATACATTTCCCTTATGGTGACCCAGTTTCAGTTTTCCAGGCAGAAATAACTGCAATCCATCACAGCGTGGAAGAAATAGAAAGGCAGGAAAGAATGTTCTGTTCAGTTGTCATCTTCACAGGTAGTCAGGCAGCACTTAAGGCACTCAATTCTGTAGAGGTCAATTCTAAGCTAGTATGGGATTGCGTGTGTGCCCTAAATAAACTAGGAGACCATAGCAAGGTTACAGTAGCCTGGGTACGGGAGCACAAGGGTCATAAGGGCAATAAAAAAGCAGATGAAAAGGCTCATCAATGCCATTCATTGGACCGGAACCCTTCTGTGGCATTGTATAGTCAGTAACAAGAATGGCTACAGGAATGTGGGTAGCTCACAAATCTCTAAAATGGTGGAGGAATTCCCTAGGAAAAAGACAGTTCATTACAGAACAGGTAATTTGTTATCCTTTTATAATTAGTAATTATAAATATAAAACTAGTGCATTTTCATGAATATTTAATTAATAAATTATTGAATAATTCACGGATTTAGGAATAAAATACCTACCAAAATTCAGTAAAATGTTTATATTTTTCAATAAATCAATATATAAATTTAAGAAATGATAATAAAATGAAATAATGATCAATAGATTCTACACATTTACACAAAATAATTTACTAAAAAAATATTTCTGAGTGATGAAAATTCTAGTCATTAAATTCCTAACTAATAATTTACAATTACAATTAAAATTGTCTAATCTAAAAATAATCAACTAAACCTCATGCTTCATTATATGTTTCTATAACATGTTTTTTATATTCATCTTTATTTTGCCATTTGGTGGCTGCTACAGCATTAAGGGGACTGTCAATATTAGGTTCAGCAAGCAATACTTGAATAGACAATAAAATAGTTCTGACATCATATAGTGCAGACCATTTATCTTTTAATATGTCTAAACAGATATTACCACTAGTATCTACATTAGGATGAAAACAAGGTGTGATGAATTTTACTGTAGGTGCTGTGTATGGATAAGAATGGGGAAACTGTAGGCTTAACTTGAATTTTAAGGCTTCATATACAGAATCTTTTGGACCTGTTATTGTTCCTATCCATTTGAAAAAGTTTTCACCTTCAGGAAATGCAGATATACTCTTGTCTGGATTCATCATTAAAGTCATAAGCTCATTATGTAACCTAAAATAATAAAATACATATGATTAATAAAGTAGAAAGTATTTTTTGAATTTGTTTTGACTGGAAAATGGTTTTAATTTTATGTCTAACATGTGTGACTTCAAAAGCCTCCAATGTGTTAACTATAAATAAAAATAATACTATTTAATGAATAATAAAAAATATACATCCATTATATCTGTATAGCAACATTTATGGAAAGCAGATAAAAATTATCTCAAGATATTTTTTGCTGCCTACAGTTAATACACCTTTGAAAAAAAACTTACCTTTTGGTTACAGCATGGTTGTCATTAGAAGCTTTTCTTGAATCATCATTTTGTTTTACAACATCTGCCTGTTGTTCAAGAAATGGATTTACATTTTGGGCCATGTTGGTATTTTATTTTAATTAATTTATTGACAGCAAAATTCGTTGTAGACTGACAGCGATAATGGCGCACTGGATATATAAAATCTATTCAAATCAACCAATCAGAAACCATTATATTCCACCCTCTTCCTTCAACAGTGATTAGTGAGATTTCTTGTTTTCCAAAGTTCTCATCGAGAGAATCGAGTCCGTAATATCGATTTAGGAGTCAACCAGAATATAGCCGCAAATGTCAACCATGGAACAAAATATTTCGGTTGTTCAGTGTTGGCATGTTTTTATAATGTATAATATGTTGTTGCTTCAAATGCTTCAAATATAAAGGGAGGAAGCTTTTAAAAAGTACATTTCGATTATATTATTTTGTTTTCTACAGTTGTTCATTTTTCTATAGTTTTTGATTTATATAAAACAAGAACGAGTAAATATGGTCTTAAAATTAACATTTTATTTAGAGGACCGCTAAGGCACAGAATAATAAACAATCAGAAGGGACACTCTCAGATGCCGCCTTTGAAGTTTTTCAGCACGCGCGCCATGTTTGAGGACACAGACATATGATTTGTGTGGTTATGTAATTGTTTATATTTATGTTTAATTATATTATATTTATGTTATTATATTTAACAATGTTAATATAATTGTATAGTATGTCTATGATTGCCGTAAGTCAAATAAACCTGGTTAATTTTTCCATGCACACCACATAATTTCTTTAAAATCCTCCTAAAACATGGCGGAACGTCTGCGCGGAGGAGATGCGCGTACTTAATTTTCCGTGGAGAGTGGGTATTCTGTATGTTTATTATTCTGTGGCTAAGGTAACTTCGAGTGGCATAGAATTTTTTTATGTTCAAAACAACAACAAAATGGGTCCTGTTAATTTTAATGAGTCTCATAATCTCTTTCGAGTAGTTCAATTGAGTGTTTATTTCTGTTCCTAGATAAATGTAGCTGTAAAAGGTTTGGGTGTTAGTATCGTCGATAACTATTTTCATTAAAAGTGGTTCTTTAAGAATTGTCTATATGTTCTCGATGTCTCTTTCTGTTTATCTTGTGGCTTCATGTGCATCTGCTTGTCCACTTATCTCCATCTGCTCGTCTACATACTCATCCCTATACTGTTCTATTTGTTTAACCGTTGCATTAGTCCATGCTATTTTGTCTCTGGTCCTGCTGTTTGAGATTTTCTTTGGTTTTATTCTCATTGTGATAACAATTGGATGTTATTTATTTTTAGGAGACTTTCACGTATATATGCGTCGTTTAGATAGCTTGAACCAAGTGTTGGTAATAACAAGGTTGTTTTCTCGACAGAACTCGTCTCCAACTTTCGAGTTTCAGTCTCCCACAAATATATTGACACCATTGTTCTTCATATGTTTTTGGCATAAAACTCTTCTAACTCAAAGAGGAGCAAAGCTTTTATAAACGCATGATGACAGCGGTTGTTAATGCTTATACAGTTTTCTTTAAAAGTAATCGCCAAAAATATAATATAAGTATCACATTTTCAGACTGGCTAAGGATGGGCTAAGAATTTAATAGCAGACGGCAAAAGTACAATGACACCAAACATAGCGGAGAGGAGAGCCAATGGCAGGTACTTGAAACAGGCGAAATTATACATCTCGCATTTACTGAGAAACCTAATGTTAATTGATCCATACAATACAACAATAAAAAACTTATCTAAAGTTCGTATTGAAAGGGTTATGTAAACTTAATAGTTTAGACTTAGTTGTCTATCAAAATGTTTCTTCTTTTTTAAGTGCGGTCGTTGTAATTCGAATCTTTGATGCCATTGTGTTGAACGATTCTTTAGAACTGTAGTTGTCATCAATCACAGTCTTATATATTACTCAGCCAGAAAACATGTCTTCTACCCATCGAGCAAAAAGATAAAAGAGGGAATCTAATCGTTATGAAAAGGAGACCAAAAAAGTGGCCTCTGATGGCGGACATATCCAGAAATGCAAAGGCGCTAAATTTAAATTTTTCAACACTTGTTAACAATACCTGTAAAATATTTTTCAGACAAGAAAGTTTTAATTAAATAATAACGATAATAGTCTAAAAAGTGACATAATTGGTAAAAAAACTTCAATATTAATAAAATTTCATGTGACAGTTGGGACAAACAATAACATAACCAAACTAAATTTGACTTCTTAAACAAGGAAAGAGACTGTCTTTCCTTGTTTAAAGTGGCCTCTCAAGATAGCACTTCCTGTCTAACAATATTTTTGTCCCCACTACCTTTACATTCCCTCTTTTATCTTTTTGCTCGATGCTTCTACCTCGGCTTCTTTGTTCTTCGATTTTTCTCCGCATGATCACCTGCAGCAGTTCTTAGTGCTCACCTCTTATAACATGGTTCAAATACTGCAAATTTCCAATTTTAAAAGTGTTTAGGACATATTTTTGTTTTCTCATTCTTTCCAATACTACGTAGTTTGTAACTCCCTTCACCCAGTTTATCCTAAACATTCTTCTGTAGCTCCACATTTCGAAAGCCTCCATTCTATCGATGACCTGCTTCTTTAGCGCCCATACTTCCACTGTTTACAGTAGCTCAGAGAACACGTAACAACTGAAAAGTCTAACTCTAAATCCGATCAACAAATCTCTGTTATACAAAACATTTTTCATTTTAGCAAATTTGTATCTTGCTTGTCCAATTCTTGATTTGATTTCTTCAGTAAGTATAGTTGTTGTCGTTAATTATTGATCCTAAATATTTATATTTCTGGACTTGTTTTATTTGTTCTCTTACGTTGTGATCAAAATGTTTACCCAAACTATGTGTAGAACCTAAAGAGCAAATGAGACCTATTAATATTATCTATAGTTATTTTTTGGCACTATAATTATGTGGCACAACCAATTGTAGTATTTTAATTACTTTTCCCTGATTACGGTGAATCCTGAAGTGCTGAATCCATCCCTGAAATTTGTTTACAATCGATATACGTTCATGTTCTTCACGTTTCACGTTCTTCAAACTTTCAATTTAGAATTTAGCATTTTTTAAATACAATAATTGTATTAAAATTCCATGATAGTACTATTGCTATGTTCTATTTATTTATGTATTTTAAAACTTAATGAAATCAGTTATTTATTCTTACACCTTACACCAATAAAATAAATAAAATTGTAATATAGGTCCTTTGATACTATCAAAGAATATAGAGTATATTATATACTGTATATATTCTTTGATACTATGGTTAAACTTTACAAGCAATAAAATACATTTATCTATTCTATTTATTTCGCAACCTCATTTTGATAAATCTATATAAAAATGACCAGTTTATTTATGATGATTAATAAGCTCAGTAGTAAGAATCAAATTAGAGTTGGTGCACTGGAAAGTTCCTTTCATCTTTTAGTATTCATCCGCAACTTGGCCTTGACAACGGTGGACTTAACAAAGTCTGGTAAATCGAAATCGAAGATGGTGTGTAATATAGTATTTCATTTAAGGAATTAAATAAATTCTTTGTATTTTATCTTTTTAGCAAGCAAAACTTAATGAAGAGGAAAGGAATACCTCACTAGCTCCTCTGTTCACTCAAGGATGGAAGTTGGTTGAAAACCGGGATGCTATTAACAAGGAGTTTTTATTTAAGGATTTTAATCAGGTAAACCAGACAATAAATGTGAACTTAATATTTAAACATTGAGGAATGTGAAATCCTAAGTAGGTAACCTCTTAGTCATCTATATATTGGGTGTTACATTTCCATATTGCAAGATCTTAAGGTGATAAGCAAGTGGTATTGCTCATAATCAGGTAGAAACATGGAAATAAAACTTTTAGTTTGTTTAAAATAACACATAATCCTTTTCCAATATAGATAATGTATTGGCAGGCATAGTTTCTTAACTTTTGAGAGTTGTATTATTTCCTGAAACGGCTTATAAACTTTTTCCATGTTTATATTAGGCTGAAGGTTTTCACAAAATTGTATGGCTAATGTGAATATGTATATAAGATAAGTTTTCATTTTCTTCAGAAGATTTAACTGAATTCATAAGAATATCTTTTTTGTAGTTTATATCTAACTAATATTTGGATTTCTGTCAGGTATATATGATAATGAAAAATAGCTTAAACTTTGTAAGTAATAGTTTTTAATTAATGAAGTGATTATGTACCGAGCAGTAACTCTTTTAATTTATCAGTTTATCTACACAGTTTCTTACACTACGCCTAATAATATGTTTCCAATGTTTAAATGTTAGCCATATGATTTAATTTTATAATTTTCAACAAATTATTTGAAAAATTTTGTGTAAATAAGAAGTGAATGTTTAAACTACAGAATTTTCTGATTGTTCCTCTAATGAAACAATGATTCAAATGTCCAAAAGATTTTTTCTCTACATTTATGGATAATGAGCAACTTATGATGAATTTATGTGCTTTCTATTTTCGTCTCTTCTTTTGCAGAATATTTTTTCAGATGCTTGGCTAACCAATAAAAATTCTTTTTTGGTTATTAACATAATCTCACTTTCTGTAGCTTTAAGGATTATAGCATTGCACTAATTGGTATGTACTAAAGTACGAATTAGGGCACAGTGCTAATTATTTATGGAATCATATATCAAATAATACCACAATATATTTAAAACAAACTGTTTTGAGTCTTGTAAATTTAAATTAAAAGTCTTGATAAGTTATGATACATACCTATATGTTAACTAGAAAAAAGTGAAACTAAATAATTTTTTTTATTTTCTTCCTTGTCTCTCTAGCCTCTAATATTCATATGGCTTTTGTTTTCATTGGCACCTACAACACATGTTCTAATCATCTCAGTCTCTGTGTCTTAATTTTTAGTTTCATCTAGGATCAAACCTTGGTTAGTTCATTGTCTCCATTCACCTTCTGCTAAATTTATATTCTTGAGGATTTGCTGTAAGATTTTTAATTCCCCGACCTTATTTGTACTTGTTTTGCTTTTCACCTTTTTTACAATTAAATTTTACCTGCTGGCTTCTCCATCAATATCACAAACAGTTAATTTACACAGCCCTTTTACTTATTTTATTAGATATACCAAATCATCTGTGAAACCTATGCATTGCTGCCTGTTGTTTAAAACTGTGAAATTAGTGTGGATTTGGAAAACAACTATTGTCATTGTTGTTTTTTTAATGCCATTTTTAAAAATAAAGGTAGATGTAGAATTCACAGTTTCAAACCAATCTCACCACGAGTAATTTGAGATTTCTTTAATGTTACATAAGAAATTTATTTACTAATATAATCATTTTCTTAGATGCCCTGAAGAAGAATTAAATAAATTTAAAAGCTAGCCAGGAGTTTTATTAAATTCCTAGACCAAAACCATTGACAGCCACTCCACAATAAACTAGAATCTATTTCAATATCCAGTCACAAATACCCCCACTTACATTCATATATATATATATATATATATATATATATATATATATATATATATATATATATATATATATATATATCTATTTTGCCAGTCGTTTCTGTTCATCACCAACCGTTGTCAATTTGCTGCGCCGATCTTCCTTGCGTCCTCGTCCACACCGTCCCTCCATCTCAGTTGTGGTCTGCCTCTACTCCTATTTCCCACTGGGACCGATAATAGAGTTCGTCTGGGTGGGTAATTTTCATTTGCTCTTGACACATGTCCAGCCCATCTAAGCCTACCTATTTTTATATAGTATATATATATATATATATATATATATATATATATATATATATATATACAGGGTGGTGAATCGTCAAACGGGCCATAGGAAACTCAATGAGAAATTCTAAATTGTTGAATTCCTGCTCAAATATGTATCGAAACCAATTGTTAAAATTGTTCTATGACTTAAACGTATTCCAAAATTTTGCGAAAATATAATACATTTTTCAGGCCACCCTTAAAAGTCAGGCCAGACGCCGTGAAAAGAATGTGTATTACGTGTTGCATTTTGTCATATTGGCGTTTCTAATATTTGACAATATTTAAATCTACTATATTATACTTATCTATGATTTAAATGGCCAAAATTTTGTGATTTATTTAAAAGAAAAATTAAGTTGATTAAAAAATGTACTCAGTTAAGGAGAAAAGAGCAATAATAAAAATGTTTTATTATAACATTTGTTATAGTTTTATGTTTAGAAATTATCATATATTATTATTAGGAATAAAGATCACAGTAACAGTATATTGGAATTCATTGAATTGTTGTATAACTTAACATGGAATTAAATTTTAGTGTATTAGAATATCTTACGTTAATAAAGATCCGGTAGTAACAGGAAAAGGTTCGCGCTATTGCATGAATACAACATTATGCGATTTTTCGTCAACTGAGTACATTTCATTATATTGATCGATTTGTAAACAATATAATTTATTGTTCACAAAGTAATATTGTTCAGTAGTAGTAGTATTTAGTAAAATTATTTGTTTATAATTTAATCATAAAATAAAAAAAATTGACAATTCAAATTGTCAAACATTTGACATTAATATGATAAAACACAAACGTTATAATATATTCTTGTATTACGTGTGGCCTAACTTTTAGGGGTGGTCTGAAAAATCTATTATATTTTTGCAAAATTTTAAAGTACATTTGATTTGTAGAACGGTTTTAACATTTGTTTTTAATTCAGAATTTAGTCCTCTACAAATAGTTTTTTATGACTTTTGATCTAAAATAATTAGGGAAGCAGCAATTCAACAATTTAAAATTTCCCATTGAGTTTCCTATGACCCGTTTGACGATTCACCACCCTGTATATATATATATATATATATATATATATATATATATATATATACCGGGTGGTAAACTATATATATATATATATATATATATATATATATATATATATATATATATATATATATTAATTACTTATTACATGTGATTGTAAAGCAATTTTTAAAAATTTTAAATATAGGAATAAGTTTTATGTAAAAATATGACAGACTGTGATAAGTTTTATCGACATGGTAGAAAATCATTGATGATCCAACCTCATTAAGTTTCTCCCTGATGAAGGACATAACCATGTCCGAAAGCTCGGAATAAAAATTTAAAAGAGTACACGTATCATTTTTATTGCTGCAAACCCAATATTGAAAATTTACTTCCTTGTTGTCAGCAAATACTTCTAGTTCATTATATATATATATATATATATATAATATATATATATATATATATATATATATATTTATATATATCAGTATGTTCGAAATATCAGGTATGTGGTCTATATTAAAATAACAATCTTTGTTTTTTCTAAAACTCAATATTTCGCTCTTTATTTAAAAGCTTTATCAGGAGTAACTGTAAAAAACAAACATTTCAAAAAACTGACGTACACTTAGATTTACAATACTTACAGACTTAAAAGATTTCACACATAAATAACTTTGATATTAAAATAAACATTTTTTGATAATGTATAAGTTTGTTAAAATGTAAATATATATGAGCACGTTCGTTAACAGTAAGTAAATGAGATGGAAACAACTAAAAGTTATTTCAAATGCAAAAACTAACAATGGAAGAAAACATTAGAGGAATATTATTTCTTTAATTAAAGAAATAATTAAAATGAAATAATAATTTAATAAATGCAAATATGCAAAACATGTTTTGCATATGTAAATACGTGCAAGCTTTTTACTCGTGGGTAACCATTGACCCAACATACATTAGACAATTAACTAAATCACTAAAACTACCAGTTGTGGGTTAAGTTATTTGCAGCTTCTGTGGATATATTATTAGTGGGAACATTGTTTTAATTGATGACTCTGCTTCTGCTACAGACACTATTGAGTATATATCTTTACGTTTTAAAGAAAACACCAAGGCTAAATCACAGCTCTGCTTTATTGTAGAAATATTAATTGCAAATGTTGGTGATTTAAAACATACTTTTGTTTTGTTATATTTAGCATCAATTTTGGTTGCCTCTATTAGAATATTATAATACTTACGCTGCAATAAATCCTTCAAAAAGATTTTACCAATTTATTAATGTCCCTTATAGCAATTAATAATCTGGCTAGTTCACGCATCTTTCGTAATGCTGCATTGACAAAATGACATTATAAAAAAATGAACTCTTATATACCTCTATTCAAATTCACTAATAAAACTGTCATTCTGGGCAACAACTGAAATTTTATCTGGCCGCATTTTTGGAAAAACTAATTATAAGATCGTCATATGTAATTACAGCCCTTTGTCAAGAGACTTAAGGAACCTTTTTGCAGTTTTTTAACATGTTACAGAATTTCGTAAATAATTTCCTTTTTTTCTTAGACTAGTAATCATATCCTTTCATTCTTTATTTTTCACATATTTTAAATAAAATTCTCTGAACTTATAACTTTTCCAGAATGATCTCTACAAATATTTCTTGTAAAGTTAAGTACTAAATTTTCACAGACTTAGCAAAAATCAATATCAGCTGGTTTCTTTGTTTGCTCGGTTTGCTGCTTGCCTAAAAGTATAGAATAGGTTACAAGATTTATAGAATTTCGTAAGTAATTACGGACCTCTTACGAACTGCAGCAGCAAGTATTCTAGTTCTCTGCATAACACAGTTAATAAACTACGAATGTAT